GCGCCTAACTCTTGCTTTTACTTTTCGTTTTAATTATCTCGAAATTTGAAAAAGTCAAAATCGTGTTTTTGTGACGCTTCTTGTAAACGACCTAGACGTCCTATTGAAAATCGGAAAACGAAAGATATTAGTTCGATCTCGATATTTTATTCTTGCGTTTAAATGAGTAATTTGTGATGTTCTATTACTGAGATCATTGTGACAAAAAATGACCACTTTGATGCGTACGTCGAGAAAGTAAGGAGAATAAAAAGAAAACTCGCCGACAACTACATAAATGCTTCTGCTATTCGCATCGCATTAAAAAAAAAAAGAAAACTCGCGCAGAACTACATAAATGCTTCTGCTGTTCGCATCGCATTAAAAAAGCAAGAAAACTCGCGGAGGACTACATAAATGCTTCTGCTATTCGCATCGCAATAAAAAGAAAACTCGCGCAGGACTACATAAATGCTTCTGCTATTCGCATCGCATTAAAAAAGGAAGAAAACTCGCGCAGGACTACATAAATGCTTCTGCTATTCGCATCGCATTAAAAAAAGAAAACTCGCGAAGGACTACATAAATGCTTCTGCTATTCGCATCGCATTAAAAACGCTTTCTGTAAAAGACTTATTTACAGGGTATTCCAGCACAGATAGGAAAATGTTTGGTAGAGATGTTTTTTTCTTCAGGAAAAATCATATATAAAAATGAAGTTGACTCTAAGTAAAATGTTTTTATTAGTCGCGTATTGGTATGTTTTGTTAGTGAAAAGATAATATACTGGTTGCTCTAATTTCTAATATAAGTAAAATATACGATTCTAGTTGACGGATCATCGCGGTGAGTTCAAAATATGATATTATATAACTAGTATTGCTTGGACCTCATTCTTTATGCTCGATTTACTGTAACTAGTGCATCACTGTCGTTTGGTTAACTAGTACTTGTTATAGTGTGATCGTGTAATGTATGTCTTGGTTTGTTTTTGCCTTATACCTAGTAATTGCTATTGTAGGGTTATATCACTGTCGTGTGATAACGTTGAATGCATGTATTTGACTTCGATTAATTCTTGTTTTAGTCTTTCTATCAGTTTTGTTATTCTTATATAGATGCATGGTTTTTCTTAAGTGAAGGATGGAGAAGACACATGTTTCGATTACGCGTAAATATAGTTTGTTGGTCGCCTTTAAAAGATCCAACGCCTGGATCAATATTATTAGCCGTTTCGTTTTTTTTATGTCTTCCATGTTACGCTATGTACGGCGTGTTCTAGTCATATATAAACAGAAGACCTGGATATGCAATATATATCGTAACAACGTGCGAAGAAAAAGAAAAAAGAGAAATTTCTTCTTCTTTTTCTATCCATGTAAATCAACGCGAAAGTTTTAAAAATTCGTGTTCTATGTTTAAATCATTGATTTATAAATACCTTTATCCGCCGCAATATAATAACAGTTTAAGTGCATAATAAGTTATTGATTTAAACTAGTTAGTCATATCTATTTTGAAACAATGTGACTATATTTCTCTGTATTTATATTTTTGTTTTTCTCCTCTCTTACTAGCTCAATTACTGTTATAGTCTTTTCTTCCTCTCCTCTATAATTATGTATTTATTACGTTATGAAGAAAAGCCGACGAGTGAAAGAAAGAAAATTTAAAAGAATGACATGTATGTTTTATTATTCTTATTTATTTATGCTTGTGTCTGTTAATCCTAACGAGAACAGTAAACTTAAATGTGAAAAAAAAAGAAAAGATAAAAACTTTCGTTAGGTAATACTGTTCGCTATTGTAATATGTTTTTCTCTGCTGATCGAAAAGTTGGTCACTATTAACATTTAACGGTACTATCTTAGAAAATTGATGCGAATTAAAATGTTTAAAAAACAACTGGCTAAACGGCGAATTAAACAAACAAAATAATCACTGGCTCTCAGAATGCTTCAGATGAATGTCATGATTGTTTGTGATTAACAAGATTTTTGCAGTAGTTTCAAAGTTCTCGTTAGTAATACTGTCATTATACTGAACACCATTTTTCCCTCTAACATATTATTTTTTCGCTGGAGATACTATATAAATAAGTCATGTATAGAAAGGATATCTCTCACAGTCAATACATTTATCCATTTTTCCAAAACATTTTTCTCATGGAAAAAAGCATTATTTCGTTGGATTTTCATTTTCCCTCTCAATTAAATGCTTATATACGGTTATAGTAAAGACATTTTTTGTTTTAAGCTACCATTTTCCCTACTAATCTGGGCCATTTTTCCGCTGTTTTTTTTCATTTTTTCTTACGACTGAACGTATATATACAGTTATAATGAAAAGCAATTTTTCCTTGCCGAGTATTATTTTCCCTATTAGTGGAGATCATTTTTCCTTATTACTGCATCTATGTATATATACAGTCGTATATAAAAGCATTTTTCTACGTATTATTTTGATCACTATTTTCATGAATCATATATGCATTTTTCTCATGGGACCATTTTTCCGCTGAGTATAATCATTTTCCTCACCGATCAAATATTTGTCCACTGCTGGTGTTTAATCTATATATATAATTATTGAGTCAATTTTGTGTTTTTTTGCAGTCAAAAAAGAACGTCATATTTTCTCTGTTGTCGCTCCTTTTTGTTCTTTATTCCTCTTCTTTCATAAAAGAAGAATCATCCTTCTCTTCACAATATTCATTCTTTAAATACTCAACAATATCAGTAATACGTGAGGAAATGAAAGAGAATCAGCATTCTTTATGCCAAGAGATATATCACGCCGTAACATTCTTTATTGTTATTGTTTCATACATTTATAATATTTTCATGTCAGTTTTTTCAGACTTTGATGTAAATCAAAACAATAATATGTTATTATTAATTAAAGGAATGATTTACGTATTCTCCTAATCTTTTTTTATTAAGGCTTTAGAAATAAGATATACAACTTTGTCATTGGTGAAGATCACTTGAATTTCTCTCATTAAGTCGTGTAACAAAAAACATAGAACAGATGATATAATCGTTCGCAAATTTGTCCATTCTTAATTATTAGAGTGAATCGAAAAATAACTCATCTGCATGTATTCTCTTTTTCTTGTTTTTTTACAATTAAAAAATGAGATAAATAGCACATCTTAATAAGATTAAACTTATTAAAGATTATCAATAAAATAGACATACAAGATTTGACTGTTAATGAAAAGTAAAATATTTGTTGTTTATCGAACTTTTGTTTTCTTCTCAAACATATTACTATAAAATGAAAGTATAAAATGATTTCATGGTTTCTGTAAAGAAAAAACGAAATAAAAGAGATTTGTATTTACATAAATGTAGAGCATATCAAAAGTAATGAGGATGATAGTTAATATCATAGAGAAGTCTTTGCAAACCTTTGCCTTTATATGCACTGATAGTATTGGGTTGGGTGGGTGTGGATGTGGATGTGGGCAGGTCAAGGGGTAAACAGCAGAATCTATGAATCCACCTGAATCCGAAGGACT